TTCTAAAGCTTTTTCTCTCCTAGGCTCAGTATTAAATTCAGCACGATTTTTCCTCCGCTGCTTCACTCTGAAGTTCAGACCACATTTTGATCGAATTTTTTTCCTTGCGCTAAATTTGACCTGGACGGAGCTATTCTCATCCCTTGATCATGGAAACTGAGCATACTTCCAAAGCGACAATGTTTGGCGCTCGCGCCACAATCACCGTAGTCACAGGCGACTTTGGCGCCGACGCAAGTAGCACACGGACGAGGCCTTTCCGCGTTTCCCAAATGCGATATTCGGGTTAGAGGTTAAACTACTCTTTCGAACAGACTTTTTGGCACATTTGAAGTTTCGAAGGCGCTGTGGCGCAAGGCGAGGGGTTCAAGCCTGTCGCTTGTCCTATTCGTGTTCCCCGGTGACAGAATTCCAATCAAATTCCGCCCACGGTGAGAATTCTCGTTACAAGCCTGGACTGACTTCCGATTAGTGAGACAATAACGGGCAAACTGGGCTGAAAACTGTCATATCCATCAAAGCAAATCCAGTTTAGCTTGACAGGTTCTTAGGTGCCCCCCCCCCTGCTAGCAGACCTAACTTTTAAGTTGTCAACAGATTTCATTTACTTGCTTATCTCGCAGTATTTTGAAACTAACATAGCCGATTCTCTCACGAATATCCCGCAGCATTGTTTGCTCAATAAATCGCATTTTATAATCAAAACAGCATGCAAATTGCAATAAAACTGAATTTATTCCTTGTAATTCTATCGTCATCGAGCAGGCTGCATCTCCATATTTCTACAGTAATCCCTATCAAATATGTTTCTCATTTCCCAGATAGCCCCGAGAAAAAGTACCTTTAAGATCATTTCCACGTGTTCACCTTTGCATGGTAAAAAAAATGAGGGAGAAACTTAGTACTTTCGAGAACAGCATTTGCAGTACATGCACCTATCGAACTTCTTTGGTATGCGCCATGCCCTCGAGAGTCTACAGATATTGCAAATATCCAATTCACGAAGAAAAATACAAAAATACTGCAGACATACATGAGGGTGCAGTGAATATGGAGATTCTGTCAAAATAAAGAGGGGGGAAGGGGAGGGGGGGGGTAGAAATTAGTTCATCCTTGTTGGAAAGCTCTGTGCGCGAACCTTCGACAAAGACCCAAAACCTCTGACTTACAATTATGGGCACGCCATGACGCCGCTAAACTTTCCTACGCCCACAACCGCGTACCCCAACACCTAACGGCGCTGAGCGGTGATCGCGCCCCTGCAATGCTGAATCAGCAATGGCAAAAAGCTGCACTGGCTAAGCGCCGACCAAGCCAGAAAACACTCCTGGTGAATTTGTTTAAAAGTATGTATTGACGCAGTTCGTTTGCAGTGGGGGCTAACTCGACGACGCTTGCTGCAGGCCTTTTGTGGAACCTGTCATATCCTCGTGACCGAAACAGCTCACACGTACCATTTCGCAATGTGACTGGAGTTTAGACCTCACCAAAATGAGACCTCTCATTTAACATGAACTAACAAAAGGAATAAGCGAAGGTGCAAAATGCTCCCCCTTTAAACTAAATGCTTGGTATTTCTATGCAGACGTCGTTAATCTCACTTTGCACAAAAGAAATCGAGCTTTTCCTTCACCTTTCCTAGAAGGTTAATTAGCCGCCAATGACTTTTTCGAATAAAAAACGCCCAAAACTTTTAATAAATATGCCAGAACTCAGAAAACTTTTCGCGTTTGTTTGCCTTTCTTGCAAAAAATTTGACTGCTTTTGTGCACAGGCGTCCCAGCCATGGGTGAGCGAATAAAGGATTTAAAGGACCTCAGCCGAATTTCAACCAGCGATAAAGACTAGGAATCTTCAACAAGGACCGCGCGGAGTAGTAAGCGCGCCAGTCCTCACTACACCACCTTCTGCTACAGGTCGATTCCATGCTACTGTTGGTGATCATTTTGTATTGGTTCTACTTTTATTAGCTTTGTTTAATTATATTAATTTATTTTATTCATTCATTATTTCTGAATTGTGCTTCGTTAATTATTTTGATTTTGATGCGAGTAATCGACTCCCTAAATATTGAAAATTTTCAGAACATTCCACGAGGATGCATTGGCGATTCTCGTAAAACCTCTACGAAACACCCATGACACCTATTTCTCCTATCGGGCATGGAGTCAAATGATATTCGTTTTCATACGGAAAGCACATACACGTTTTGCTACAGGTTGGTTTCCCTGGTGATCTCAACAAAATCCGCTTAACGAAGAAAAAAGAGTAATCTGGAAAAAGAGTCACGCGCCTCACAGGATCGATTTTCTTGGAAGAAAACGCCATTCAATTATCACCAAGAGTTCCGCGCCAGCCAAATCGCTCTAAAATACCTCAGGGGAGGAAATTGCTCCAAATTGAATCAGGCTACCGAAGGAGCATGAAACTCCCAAATGGCTTCTTTTACCCTGACCCGAACTTGCTCATGATGAAATAGGCCTCCTGATTATATCCTTGCAGAAGTTGGAAGATAAATAGGAGATCGCCTACCCCTGCTGGGTTGGACTTCAAAGTGCACTACGCGCCACAGGACTTCCGTTTGGAACCTTTTGATTTTCGCGTGGGCTAGGCACATAATACGCACCAAACAGTCATAGGGAAGCATGCGGTGGCGCAATCACGCTACGTCATCTCTGCTTGCCCTGCGTTCTCTTTAACACGCAGTGTCTGCTTACCTGATTTTCTCTTGCCACGTAATGTCTGGTTATCCGCGTCCTCTCACGAAAAGAACAGCCGCGTATGCACCCATTAATAGGTTTCGACAAGACGCGACAAGACAAAAGAGGACAGACAGGACATGACGTGTAATAGTCTTGCCTTCCCCCCCCCCCACCCCAATGGGAGTGGTTGATAATCCCAACTACTTGCCCTCCTATTTGCCCACCCATACAAAATTTTCGAAGTGTGGGCCTGATCTTTCTGACAAAACCACCTGAAAGTGGTACCGCCTAACTAATCCCCAAGGACAATATTTGCCCTAGAGTTAATCGGATAGCTGATCCATTATAGATTCAAAACTGCTCTTATTCCAGATCCTGTCGCCAAATTCGTGCCAGCCACCGCTCTTGCAAAGCCAGTACGAACCAAGGGTGCTATCGGGGTATGTCAGCACAATATTGTCTACGCTTATCAACGATGGGTTGTGATTATTGCCTGTCATCTCACACGTGAGTGCAAAAATCTTTCGAAACTACTTTCATTTCTGTCTTTTTTTCATTTCTTACATAAATGATCAGATTTTTTCAATTATTTCTGTTCAAAAATGAGTCGCTGGAAATGAGCAGCGCACTAAATTATGCCCCTTCACGGTCAATTTATTGGCAGGTTTCTCTCATGAAGTCGTAAAAACGTGCACATCATGAGTTTTTGCCCTCGCTAATCCATTTTCCACGTCAAATTTGCTTGCCTACTGGCTTTCCGCCGTTGTGTCTATTTGCTTTTCTCCACACACAATAAAACATTCCATTACTGCCACGCAATGGATGGATTGGGTATGAATGTTGGGAAGGATTCCATTGATATTCAAGCCAAAGAACCTCCCACGCCATTGAAAGCATAGCGATCAGAATAATGGTTCTAAGTTGAGCCCGGTGAACTCAGGGAAACAGAGAGTTAGGAAAAAGCACACAGCCTGCACTGATCAAATCTTTCCGGGGATGCGCCATGCCTGCTGCTTTCATTCAGAATCGTAATATTCGGATCGTATACTACGACGGGTGTGTGACAAGTGGATCGCAATTCACCGCACTGGTGGGCGTCGCGTTCGACGTCACGTCGGCAAATGGCGACGGTTCCAGATAGTAAATGGCGACAACAGGCCATTCAGAATCGAAAATAGTCACGAATGTATACTATTACGGTGTCTACATGAGGTCCGGTGCTCCAATCGACAGGTTAACACGAGTTAAGAAAGCGTCGTGCCCGTCGCCGCGCGCGGCGGAAATTACGATTCTCTTGCCCGTCTTCCTACTAGGACCTACACGGGTCAACCAGTGTATCCATGTCTATACATGTCTGTTCCCAGCGGATGGATTTATCGCATCAGGGGATGGATTTGACAAAAAATAAAATAAGCTAGACCTAGAGGAGCGGGTGGGGAGGGAAGGGGAATACAAAGACACGATTGCGACGTCGCGGTAGGTGAACCACGTAAACAAAGTGCGAGAAGCATTTCTGACACGAAGGAGCTGCACTTTCCCCTCTCCCCCCCTTCAAAACTATCTGCCTTTCACATCCACTGCTCATCCAGAGGTGGTAGATTTTAGCGTTTGCATTCTAATCCGTTCCCATCCAACCCACGTATTGATCAGCCACTACTCGCCAAGGAGAGGAGTAAAAGAAGCGCCACCCTGCTCCCTTGGCCAATGGGCCCAATGGGCTCATAAAGTGTTGTGAAAGTTGATCAAACCAAGCTCTTCACTGAAAATTTCTAGAAGTTGAAAATCTTTCGAAAACAACTTCCTCCTCTTTCAGATGCTACCGCTTTACAACGAATACAGGACTACCACAAAGTGATGAAAACTCTCAAATTTCAAACATTATGTAGCTTCAAGGGTAGTGACGACATATTCCACGCTGACGTAAGTGATTGAAGACACTCCTCTTTCTCTTTAAGCAATAATACCACGTTCATCAATAAGATGACAAACGAAACCTGTTTTGGTGCCAGTACCAAATCCCCCTCCCCTCCAGAACAATGTAGAACGCACACCAGAGACCACTTCGAGTATTTTGCAAGTACCTGCTCTCACTCACTAAAACCTTAACGAGTTTGTAAATATTAAAAACAGCTCGTTCGTGATTGTTGGGTGGGCGGAGTCAGGAAACGACGTCAGCGCTGCGCCCCTCCTTTCCACGCCTTCTGTACATCTACAGGAGGTGACACCGTTCCCTGGCTGCGGCCAGATTGTCTTGAAATTTTGACTGTAAGTGATTTTGACGACAAACCCTTGAAGCCGTAAATTTTACGGACTGCGGTCATCCCAGTTTCGTATAAACAGTCAAAAGCCATGGAATCTTACGAGCATCGTACCAAAAGCAGCAGGAACCGCGAAGAAAAGATTGCGAGCCACAGCTAGTGAGGAATTGACCTTTTTTTACTCAAGTTCTCCAGTAGTGGTGGAGCCTCAGAAGGAGAGGAGAGAGAGGAGAGGAATCGGAGTCGAACTAACCCCTCTATAAAAGCGCTCTTCGCGCTTCATAAATAATTCTTGGCCCTAACCGTGTTACTAAGAGGCATCGATGCAGCGTCCCCGTCCCCTCTCTTTTTCAAGGCTCGTTAGCGGAGCGTAGACGACCAGGACTAGTCTGGCAGAACAGCGTACACTGCCACGTCAACGCGTGCTCCTCTCCCCTCTACGGTAGAAGTGCCAAAAAAATGATCGAAGCTGAGTAGACACTGAATCGAAAACTGTGTAGACACTACTGTTCCTAAGTGATTATAACAAAAAAGTGGTTGTTGAGGTTTCAAATGCATCACGTGTACAGCGGCAAACTGCCCCTTCCTACTGTAATGGTGCTTGAAAGCAAAGAAAAAATCGACTAAACCCTTCCCATTTAGTGTGTATTATGGTTGGGTGATCTCAATTTCCGCATAACACAAGATTCTGGAGTAGATTGGAAGTCTCAGTTGCTTGAGCCAAACACTCGTGACATCGAGAACACAATGCAGAATGATGAGCTCGGCTTAGTTCGACAAAAAGGTGAGGGTTATTACGGTAATTCTATTTTATAGAGGAAAATAACAATAGTGCATTCGACATTACTACTTAGAAGGGATGTCATTAGTTTAGACAATCAGTCTCGGCTTCACAGGAAGTAAAACATGAATGAAGCCTTTTAATGATAATCCTTTCAGAACTCGCTTTCTCGGAATTCTCCGAGGCTCCTGTTACTTTTGCTCCAACGCACAAATTCGAAGTAGGAACAAACGACTATGTGCCCAATCGCATTCCTTCTTTTACGGTAATTCAATTCTCTACTAATCATGACAACTACACCCCGTATCCGGGCGATGGGTCGTAATTGCGTACTTGGTGCGATTCATAGCAGTGGCCTTTTGAAAAATTTGAAATTCCTGTCAATGAAAAGACTTGCTATCTGCAACTGACACCCTTATGGCACTCAACTAACTAAACTGGAGCCTGACGAAGTCGAGTACTACTTTGGAGGAGCAGAAATTTCCGAGACCGCTGCCACGAGTGTCACTGAGATTGCAATTAGCACTCCTCCCACCGTGAGCTACAGAGTTTAAGGCCTTCGCACCCTTCGCACCGGTCCAACTCGGACTTTGGGACCTTGCCAGTGCCAAATTTCGCTCATGTTTCCTATATTCGAACGTTTCGCAACTATGGTTAGATACCTGCTCAAGATTTTCGCCTATCCTGGATCCCTGCTGAATAATCCTGCCCACACCCTGGGTTCACCATATGGTCGTTCGCACCGTTCACTGATATGACAACCTCTGCACTTTATTCGTCGCGCTTTCTCACTTCACGCCAGGACCATGGTTAGCAGTTCGAGTGGTGGCACAGCTCAGCAGCGGAGGGGGAGGAGGGGCATTTTGCACTTTCTCTTCTTCACCGGTTTCGATTTACACCTCTTACCCTAATGCAACCTGTGAACTCTTGTGAAGCTGGAGCAAGTTCGTCGCGCCATCACTGCAAATCCTATTTCTGGGGTTTTTGCTTTACAAAGGTTAACAGGTGGTCTCTACTATTATTACCGGTATCATTTCGCGGCTTCACAAGGTTTGACAGGTTTTTCCACTTGATGGCTCGATACGTCGATGAGAAGTAGCAAAACTGCAACATGCCCCTCCCAAAGCGACCCGGACCCCGAAATCCTTTGTAAAATTATCTAGTGCCCAAATTTCAGGACAGAGTACTATATTGGACAAAACAACCAAACTGGATTGAATGTACCGCATATAACTGCATACAAAAACCATCCCAGTCCGATCATCGGCCAGTCTATGCGATATTCCGGTACGTAATCATTAACCTTTGGCACGCTTATTTCCAGCAGTCATCCTCATACTCTGACCAATTTCAGGTTAGAGGTGATCAACAAAAAATCGCCCAGACGATTCAACAGTGACCAAGTTAATAACGAAAGCTCACGTAAGTTAGACTTTGTAGCACAACATTAAGACACCTGCTGCGCTAATGTAGTTGGGGGGAACCACTTAGCCGCTATGTGCTCTTTCCTAACCAACGTTCAGAAGTTAGAGTTCAGACGACCAGAGTCGCTGAATGAAGTCTCTCAGAAAAGACGTAATTTCCACCAAATTTTGGATCGAGAAAGTGACGCAGGGATACTGAAGACACAGAGATTCCCTAACTACGTTAGCCGACCCATAACCATAAGCTATTTGAAAACCCTAAATAAGGCTCTCACTTTCAGGATCCTCACCAGCCGGAAGTCCCACTAGAAATCTACTGCTCAAGGAAAATTCAAGCCAAATGTGATTACATCAAGCGGGATTTAGTAGAACAAATTCAACCTAGTTCAATTGAATTAACATCTGACAACAAGGTATTGAAACGAATGTCACTTTAATTAAATTAATTCCTAATAAAGTTTTGAAATCTATGGCTTACCTTCTTCTCCTCCAGATACACCACAACCGACGAAGAGGATTCCACGCTTGGCCAGTTCTTCGTAGCGGCGCTTAAACATTTACTTAAAAGAAATAAGGATGAATCTTCGCCGAAACCAATCTTCTGGGATTCGACACGCATTCCACTTCCATTTAGAATCGTAGTGGCTTACGCAGCGTTCAGACTTCGCGACGGCAGCGCTTCGGTCGCGCGATTCCGACGATCGATGCGCATGCTTTCAACTGCATCGATCGCGTCGAACGCGCGACCGAAGCGCTGCCGTCGCGAAGTCTGAACGC